TGGTCCTGCTGACATTTTGATTTCAGACTTCTGGCCTCTAGAACAGTGAGAAAATACATTTCTGTTAAGTAACCCAGTTTGTGGTGCTTTGCTATAGCAGCCCTAGAAAACTAAAAAAGGCACCCAGTTTCTGCTGGCATGCTAACAGGAGAAGGGGATGGTGACAGTGGGCACTTACTGGCTACATACATCCACTGGCCCTCTTGGGTTCTTAAAGAACTGGTATAACAACCAGGACTTGGAGTCCTACACTTGCTCCGTCTAAGTCTTTTTCTAGTTGGAGAACTATGAGAAAAAGAGAGAGAGTTTGGGGGTAGGAACAAACTCAGCAGACAGTGGGCCAGGGTCAGGTCCATGTTCAAGGAGGACTCACAGGTTTTTCTAATGCAGTGAACTTAGCAGTGTATTTAGGAGCATCTCCTCTAGTAAGGACTAACAGCCCCATCCCAGAAGATGAGGTCATGGAGTCTAAATATTCTATATTTTTAATGTGTAGAGAGCTGTCTTTCCATGCTCCATTTGTTTGTCTGCTGCCTGTCCAAGTTAATTTCTGGAAGACATTTTTGGTACATTTCATTTTCATTATTTCAATTTAAGAAGGATTTAATGAAAGTAACCATTTCTAGACATGTTGGCAGGAACTAAAGGTACAGATATAAAGGAGGCTTGATCCTTACCCTCCAGGAAGTCTCCCTGAAGGAAGCAAGGCAAGAATCTCCAACACTAAGTTAAGCCACAGTGACATCCACACAACAATGACAGACATTCAGTTGAGAGAGCAGCCACAGGGGATCTCTGGAAGGGGGCATCCGAGCCAGATTTTGGAAGCGTTCTTATTTTGCTGGGAACATTAGAGTGTATACAGTGGGAGTGGCAGAGGACTGAGAAGAGGAAGGTAGTTTCCATTTCCTTAAACAGGGAGAGATTCAGCAACATCATATATGATTGTGTCATTCTGAAGTTCAGAGAATGAGATAAAGGGAGTGGCAGAGGCTGCAGAGGCACCAGGAGGACCTGTAGGGTATGCTAAGATGTGCCAATATCATCCCTTGGACAATACGGAGCAGCTCAAGGTTTTGAGCAGGTCCATCAGGTCTTACCAGCCTCAGATGTCTGCAAGCAGGGGCAGCTGTGTTCACACTGTACCTCTCAGAGCTGCACCACCCTCCTCTAATTTCTCTGGGGCTGCCCTATGCTGCTCGCCTCCACCCTGAACAGGCACAGAGGCCCTGCCACCCTTTTCTCACACTTCTTAGTGGGGAGGGAGAATTTCTGGAGCACTCTCAAAACAGCAGTCAGAGAGCAAGTTGATTCAGAATAAAACTGAGTCAGAAGCCTGAGTCATGAATGGCTGACCAGTCCCCAAACCAGCACAGATATGCTCCATACTCCTCCCCCTTCCTCACAGTCTATAAAGTCAATGTGCTGTGGAGGTCTGGTCACAAAACAAGCATCTTTACAGCCCTGTGGATGTCATGCCTTCACTCCCCACCTGGCCACCAAAGCATGTGAGTTGGAGACCACTGGAGACTGAGTTGCCAAAGCCCCAGGTTTGTTTGGGCCCAAGAAGCTCAAACCCTCTATAAACTGGGGGGGGTGTCATCTGTTCCCATCATTTGTAGAAGGATTCAGGTAGAAGAGAACCTCTCTGGAGCATTTCTTCTGGTTTGTGCTTTTATGAAGATTTGTATTCTGCAAGAAATTTTTAGCGAATTTAATGTAGATATATAATTGCATTTTCTCAACTCTAACATTTTAGAAGCATGGGGCTCTATTGAGAATTATCAGAACACTAATAAGATTTATATGTACCTTCCAAATCAGCACAAAGCTAATGCGTTCATGATTTTTGAAAGCTACATGCAGGCCCGAATTATACACCTATCAACAGGGAGTTACCTTAAGGAGAAAGCGAGGGAGTGTAATGGCAATCCTATATGCTTTCCCAAGGAGATGGCTCACGGATGTTATAAAATGGGGCTGTCCCACATTTGGAGCAGCAAGGATGGGTGCTGAGTGACCATGGGTGGCCTGTGTACACAGGGAGTCAGGAGGACTATGAGATGTGAAAATCTGGGCCCCTTTGTGAATCATTCCTGTGCCAAGATTTAGACCATGGTGCTCAGATTCAATAAAGAAGGAATGGCCACATCATTTATCACTCATACGAGGACACTTAAAGTGGAAAGAGGCAAGTTTAATACAAATGCAAAACAACAGGGGTTGTCTTCAGAGAAATCAAGGTACACACTCAGAGAGGATCCAGTATGCAGAAGAAAAGTCCTGAATGTCAGTGGAGAGTTCCTAACAAGAGCAGTTACAGCGGCCATAAAATGATAAAATGATGATAGTTGTTCTTCTCCCCCACTAATTTTTTACTAGCACTATCAAACATTACTGATAATAGCAAAAAGCAAGAAAATGTTCCATCAATGTGGATGCTCTCTGGTAGCTTTTTACTTTTTCCTCATAACTAACTAAACTACCATTCTACTAAAATAAAAACTGAGAAAATGCAAGCTTGTTCCTTTCTCTTTAGACAGAAATTAACCATTAAAAGTGGGGCACTTGCAGTCACTGATGGATCAGGTACTATAGCCTGTGCAGGCAGGACTCCTCTGTAAGGATGAGAAAATAAACCTCCAGATACGTGAATGCCTCTGTTTCATAATTCAAGTAACATTATCAAAAATGAGAACAAACAAATATCTTACTTTAAAATAGTAACTCTTAGAAACAGGAAAAAATATTAAAATATCTTAATTCTCAGACTCAAGATAATTTTGAAGTGCATTACTTCTATAACAAATGAATACTGGGAGAGTAGGAAAAATGCTTTCAAATGAAAAATGTAATCGTCAAATTAATAATGCAGTAGAGAAAGTGAATGGCTATTTGGAGTCAAGTGAAAATGGTATCAGTGAAATAAACACCATGTAGAGAAATTCTCAACAGTCTCAGAAGAAAAAGACAAGAGGTAAAGTTGAGAGAGGGGAGGGGGTGAAGGAGAAGACAGTTAGAAGCAAAATATGATGTGGAAATACACGTATAGATGATGCTTAATATGTTCAACATGTAAAGTAAAATTTTAAATAACCAAAAAACTTTGAAAATATTCAACTTCAATAGTAATCAAACAGCTGCCTACTAAAGCAATGAAATATCAGGTTTGGACTATCAAAACTATTAGTTGGAGTTTAGAGAACTGAACTTCCTTTCTCCCACTAAACTAGGAGTTTTGGTTTGTTCTAATTACACATATAACTACCACCTAGAACAGTACCTAGCATGTAGTAAGTGCACCATAAATATCTGTTGAAGAAAATAATCACTGACTTTATAAGACTGTTAATTGGCACACATTTATAAGGATAATTTGGCAATATCTACCATAAAAATACTGATGCCTTTGCCCCCCAAAATTCTAACAGAAATGTATGATGGTAAGAATAAGTAGTCACATAAATCTAACTAAACAAAGATTCTTATACAGCATTGCCTATAATAGGAAAATAAAAACAAATAAATAAACCTTTATATGCCCCCAAAAAGAGATTGTCTAAATAAATTAATGTGCCTCCAACAACACACGACTAAAGAATCATTCAGTAGTCAGGGTACTGTAGTTTTCATGAGTAAAGTGGTTGTACTGATATATGAGAAGAGATACAAAAATATTATGGAGTGCAAAAGAATTACATAGAGTATTATAGTGTAATCTTACTGTTATAAAAACACAAATGCATGTAGATACAAGTATTATGTATATCATGCGGCAGATTATCCCAATAGGTTTACAGTAGATATCTCTGGTAAAATTACGTGTGATTGCTTTTTATTTTATTTTTTGGCTAGCCTGTGCTTTGTATTATTTTCTTCAAGAAACATATTTTATAATCAAAAGACTCAAAATAGTGACGGTTCTTTTATAGTTGAGGAGTGTGACAAGAAGGGAACAAACTGAAGAGTTTACCATAGATTTTTACTTTGTACCTGTATTTGTTTAAATCTAATTCCAAATTACACATCACTACAAAAATTACACAAATATTACTAGGCTCTTAGAGATTAGTTGGTTATTTTAATAAGCATATATATATGACAAAAGCAGGACTGACACTCCTCTTAGTTGTTTTCATGATGAAAAGCCTAGCCAGTGTGCTTGTGCAGTTGTAAACCAGTCATTTGTCTCCCCATTCCAACTGTGAAAAATTATAGCCACCTTGAAGACGATTCTGCATGTTCCATGTAGTAATGTCTGGGATCACAGCCATGACCGTGTCCGGCAGGAGGCGGGCCTCCCTGACTCTGCACAGATTGTCCCGAATCTAGAGAGGAGCCCGCTAAACTAAGGCAAAGGAACTTAGGGGATGGGTTTCCATTTTAGGTTCCCAACCCTTGTGTATGAATCTGCAACCCAGAAAGCTCTGAGTTCTTTAGTTAATTCATTTGGTGGCAAAAACCCAGGCTTTTCTGAACGCACCGGCAACAGATCCTGCTCGACTGACCCTGGCCTGGAGAGGCTTAGGGCTTCCATTCCGTCCGCGCTGTCAGAGAGGCGTGTGCAACCGTGGGGCTGTTGTCCCAGAAACAACTATGGAGGGCCTTGTGAAATATACTACATATATCTAATACGTTCTAGAATCCTACAAATTCCGGAGTCTATCCAGCCCTCCTGTGGGGCAGGGCGTGCGGGCCCTCTGCAGGTCAGCGGGTGACCACATGAGCCCTTTCGCGCAGGGACTCGGCCACCATGAGGAGGGGTCAGAGGCTCAGGATTCGGAGGCCAGGCAGCCTCATTAGCCTTAAGCGCCTGCCCGGAGACAGCCTGAGAGGAGCAAAAGCTTCTCCAAGGATCTCCTCGTGAATTCAGACCTCGGAAATAATGAAAACATTTACATTTCAAGTTTTTATCTAGAATTCTCAAAAGTATCAAAGCTATTGCAATTCATAATCTACCTTGACATAATTTTGAAATCAAAGGAACGAAAACAACTTACCTGAAAAAGTAGGTCTCGGCCCGCTGGTAATGTCCAGGTGTGAGTCTGAGGGGAGGGTACTCGGTGGCCAGGGGTCTCACCATGAACAAGCCCATGGCCAAGGCCACGAAGAGGACTGGCAGCAGCAGGTCGGCGAGGGTGCTCTTCCCGGCGCGCAGCGTGTGGCGGAGCCTCCAGGCCAGGATCGCCGCCACTTGTGCACGGAGCAGAGGGAGGCCCCGCACAGGTGCCGGCCGTGCTGGGGAGCCGCCTGGGGGACGGGCGGGAAGAAGAAGGCGGCTGGGTCAGCTCCGCAGAAGTGACTGCACTCCTTCACTTACCTTCTCAGTGACCCTGCGGCATCTCGCAGCCATGGGAATGCCACACAGGCCCACCCCATCAGGGCTCCCTTGAGGGTCCCCTTTATGCACACATAAAGTGCGGAAACTGGGCCGTGGGCGGGAAGCCTGCAATGCAAGAGGAAGTCTCTCGCGACAACGCGTGGCAGGAGCAGGGCATGTGCGCTCCGCTGCGCTTAGACTGGACGACACACCTACGCTGCCCCTTTGCTTCCTCCTCCCCTCTTCCACAGTCCTTTTCCTCTCTGTTCTTAACTCCAGGTAGTTCCTGGGAAAACCCCAGATTACGTTCGGATCGGGATTCATTCAGGGAATAACCCCACGGCCTGCTTTTCCTCAGTTCCACCGTCCCTGCTCCCCTGCGCCTTCCACTTCCCCGCAGGGCATAGGAGAGCCCGGCGCCTGCCCCCTGGGCCTCGCTGCTCCGGCTTCCCTGCTCTGTGGGACACAGCGAATGTGAAAACATCCTCAGCTATCACAGCGGTCCACAAGCAAAATTCGAAAGGAAAGCGTGAGCTGTGCATCACTGATCTACTGATCATCCAGCCACGCTCCCTCAAGAATGATCCTTTGGGACCTCTACCAACGAATCTCAGTAAATCTGGAGTTGAGGTTGCACGTTCCAAACAAGCTGTGGAGAGCAGCTTTTCTGTCCACTGTGAGGATGAGAAGCTGGGAGCAGAGGCAGAGGCAGCCTATGGACTGCAGTCTTAAACCACGTCCAAAGCAGGACTCACCCGGATCAATCAGCTGTGGTGATAGTTTTTCCCAGTGATTGACTCTAAAGTACTCCAGAAAATCCAATACAAACTATTTCACGAGAAAGGCAGTCTTATAAAGAACAGATGTACTAAACAGATTGTACTGTTCACAAATACCAAACTGAAACACAGTTAATAGAGAGCAGCAAACAAGTCTGAAGATCCAAAAGAGAACATTTTTAAAGCTGTACTATGTGAAAGAGAAATCATTTGTCATAGCATTGAGAAGAGAGTTGTAGAGGCGTCATGGGGATAACAATGCATATCTGAGAAAACTCCTTCATTTGGGTATTTACTGAGTGTCCAGTGTGTGCAGGCGCTGGGATCTTTGGTTTCTGTCCCCAACATAGGGGTTGAGATGAAAATGTAAAGAAATAACCCAGCACAGTGTAACAAAGTGTCGGGCTGGAAAGAGTCAGTACCAAGAAGTGAGTCCTTGGGATGCTGAGGAAAAAGAGAAACAGGCCCAGTGGCCTGGACGTTCAGGTGGAATCCTTGAGATCCCTGGGAGTTTACAGGCAGAAAAGAAAATGTGGATGTCTAAAGATCAAAACAGGGAGGTATAAATAGGCCTGGCATTCTCTGTGAATAGCAAGGGAGCAGAATGTGGCACATATGTGTAGCAAGTGGCAGGAGATGAGAGTTAAAGGTGGTCGGAAACCAAGACAAGAAAGACCCACACACCCATTTTTAAGGATTTCAGGGTTTGTGCTGGACAGAAGACTTTCAAACCCAGGAGTCGCTTGGGCTGAGTCACATGTTAGACTTCCAAATTATAAGGCAAATTCGTGTTTAATTTTAATGAGTAAAGTTCTAATGAGGATGAGGCATTAGGTGGTTAAAGCAGTGGTTTCTAAACCAGGCTGCATATCAGATTCACCAGGGAACACTTTAAATGCTGGTTGCCAGGCCCTATCTCAGAAAAAAAATCCCGATCTCCAGAGACTCAGAGTTAAAAATGTGTTTTTATAACTTCCCAGAAGATTAAAATTCTCAGCCAGGCTATGGAACCACTGATTTAATGCATTTATCAATGGTGATCCACATACAGCTCTCATAAAGCAGTTATTAAGTCAGCATATAGAGAAATTATACTGCTAGGAAAAAGTATATCATTAAACTAAATTTGACATATATATAGATGAATGATCTATGAATTATCTAACTCAAGCTAAAATAACTGGGATGTTTTTGGGTGCCCATCCCTGGATTTCTAAAAGTAATTATTGAGATAATTACTTGATATCTTCACAGTCCTTTGACTAAGAAGCTCTTTCTCTGACAAGGTAAAATGCCATACTTTGTTCAGGCTTAAAAGGAATTGAATAGCCACAGTTTACCAAATGTCACAACCCACAAATTAGCCTTTATGTAGCAGCTTTTGACATTCACATCTAGCCACCCATTCTTAGCTGCCTGCCAAACTGTGCACTTTCTCATATTTGTGTACAGCAGGGAAATGGCTGTAAATACCTGTTTATTTGACAGAAGAGATTTTTGTTAAGTGATACAAAACTGACATGACTAAATGGGTATTGGATATCTACTTAGCAATTTACTCTGATAACAGAAAAGGTATAGAGCAGACTCAGAGAGTGGTAAGTTACGTGCATGCTGACCCGGCTCATTGAGAACAATCATCAGAGCCACTGTGGGGTGGGGAACATTCAATTTTTTAATCCTGGATTTGAATCTAATCTCAGCCACCAACATATCATGTGGATTCTGGAACATTATTTAACCTCTCTGAATGTCATCTCCTCACTTGCAAAGAAGAGATTTGTAATATTTTCCCTCTATGTAATGAGAATTATTATTAGAACAATTATTAAACTGCCAGAACAGGCGTAATGTTGACCTGGAGTCATAGTAAATGTTCATCAGACAGCCTCAATAAGTCTGTGGGGAAAGATGTTTCTCATATTAAGAAGAATAAATTTTCTCCACCTTCCCATATATGTTAATTGGACATAAATGAGAAAAATAAAGGGCTAATATAGTTTATGGTTATGAATCAACCACCAATCAAATATTCATGGCTTAACTCATGAAAGTATTCACATGAATAATTTAACAGATAAAATTAAAATGCTGGGCCAAATTGTTATGAATTGCCTTCTTTGACTTATGAGTGCAATTATATTCAAGGACTCTAGTTTCATCCATAATCATGCAGTCCCATTTACCCTGACCATCAAATTGCTTGGGAAGAATGTCCAAAGAATTTTTTTTCTATTTTTGATCAGTTGGTTGCAAGTTTTCAAACGTTAACACCTATGAGAAACAGCTTAAATATCAAAGTCTCAGCAAGCATCCAAGAATATGATCTCCACACTACCCAGTTCATCCAAGTGTTCTTCAAGATTTTAAAATAAAGCTTTGCAAACATAATGCTTTCAAGTCAATAAAATTAAGATGAATACTCTGAAAGAAAATGGGCACACAATGTTCATTAATATACAGTTAATAAAAGATTTACAAAATAGCCAATATGTAAATATTGTAATCTAAAGCAATAATTTAGTATTTAAACTCATCAATATAGTAAAGATTAAAGATAATGTTAACATCTAATATTATTGAAGGTTAAGGAAATGGATCTTCTTATATACTGCTGGTGGGAAAACAGATTCGTGTACTCTTTCTATGGGAGACAAATATGGATCACCTTTGATCTGCTTAATCTCAATATAAGAGTTTTATTATAAAAAATAACATTTCATCACATACATAAGCCAGGTGATTTGTTACATCTTGCCAGGTGAGGTGGCTCACACCTATAATCCCAGCACTTTGGGAGGCCGAGGCGGGGAAGATTACCTGAGGTCAGGAGTTCAAGACCAGCCTGCCCAACATGTTGAAACCCCATCTCTACTAAAAGTACAAAACTTAGCCAGGCCTGGTGGTGCATGCCTGTAATCCCAGCTACTTGGGAGGCTGAGGCAGGGCAATCACTTGAAACAGGGAGGCAGAGATTGCAGTGAGCCAAGATCGCACCACTGCACTCAAGCCTGGGTGACAGAGTGAGACTCCATCTCCAATAAAAAGAAAAAGAAACAGAAACAGAAAAAGAAATGAAAGAGAAAAAAGAATATAATAACAAGAGGCAAGAAACAACTTAAATGTTTAATATGTAGGTATTAACTGAACAAATGACAATACAATGATGTAGTAAAATATACTAATCTGCTTAAGGTAATAGTATAGATAAATACTCATAGAGAATGTTTATTACATTTTGTAAGTGAATAAAGCAATTTAAGATGAAATTATATAATCTTTTGAAAAATGAACATGAAAGATGGCTCAGTAAAATGAGTGAGAGGGGGAATATGACCCAGGTATTAACGGCGTGTATTAACAAAAAATGAGAGAGGGTTAAAACATCACATATGAAATTATAGGAAAATACTCATCATATATAAGATGAAAAATGCTGCAAAGTAATACATATAGAATGAAGATAATTTGCTAAAACTACTACTATTAAACTGTAAAAATTAGTATCTTGATACTATGCTTTTAGTGTAAAGTTGCATTTTATCCAATAATTCACAAACCCTACATGCCATTTGATAAAATGGAAGCTTTTAATTTAAAAAGTGAAGGTGGTATAAGTATTTTATAACCTACTTAAAGCTTTATATTCTTGTGGTGAGATTATGACTCCTTTAATCTTCTTCACAATTTTTTGGGTTTTTTCAGCACTTAACACTTAATCATCTTGTAAACAATAAATCACTTTGTAAAGACTGTGCACTTATTCAGGAAATAAAGCATGGTTTTATGAGATAGAACCAGTATAATTCTCTGTTCAGTGAGTTACAGGATTCTAGTGCTGAAATGGATCTTTGAACTAATGCAGATCAAAAGGTTCATTTATTTATAAATAAATCCAGTTCAAGAGAGGTTGTGAAAGGAGTTATATTTGGGGAATTAAATTCAGTGAGTATTTACTAGCGCAAGTGCTATGCTAGGTGCTGGGTTAACGATTTGAATAAGGGTTTCGAGAAGTTCTTGGTCTTGTAATAGAATCAAACTAGTAAAAAAAAAACATGTCAGTGAAACCTGAACAACACGGTGAAATATACATAATGTCAGATCAGAGGAAGCTTCTTCAAGGAGTTGACCAATGCCAGCAATTCAAAAAT